ACTCCAGCTGTAGTGAAAGTTATTACAGTTTTAGTGAGATAGGTACGTGGTATCTCTTAAACGGAGAATACCACTTTGTTCTATTGTCATATCTTTTCCGTCCGGACTCCGAATCAGGTGATTCTTGAGTCTAATTTCATTCATTTTTTGTTGTCTTTCCAATGGTATGCACTATGGCATCTATTTTAGTTTGAAATAACCATTTTACCCTTGGTTCATTTCTTTTCGGGTTTGAAATCCTTGCTTCATTTCTTGGCTCATTTGAGTTTCATGACTTCATGGGGAGTCATTTTAGTGCCTAGGAATGACGTACATCTCTAGAGGCCATTTTACATCTTTTGCTTCCGCATTTCGGATCCGTTATCAGGTCATATTTTGGTTACCACTGACGCACCAAGTTTATAAAACTTGGGGCGTCACAAGGTTTTTGTGAATGGATTGAAAAAAATAAAAAATAAATAAAAAATGATCAATGAGAACTTTCGGTTTAACACGTAAAGAAATGAGTAATGTCCATCTTTAATTTTTTTAAAAAAAATTTATACAGATGTCTTGATTTTATTTTTGTCATTTGAATTGAGAGAGAGAGAGAGAGAGAGAGAGAGAGAGAGAGAGAGAGAAAAAAATGCATTTATCAAAAAGGGAGTGCAAATAGTTTGGGCTCCTATAGTTTTGCTCTTTAGTTTTAACCTAAAAGAGTTCATACCAATTGAAGACAGCGCCATCACAAATAAGCATTTCACATTTCCCTTACTCAAACGATGTAAGACACCACATATAAGCACGTCATCTTTCTATTACCTAGACAATATGAGATTGTGCACCTATAATTCGCCTGGTAACCTGCATATGCCTCACACCAACTTACGGCATAGCCGCGCTGCACAAATATCCTCTCCCAAAAAACTAATGATGCATCTAGACCAATACAGCAAGAAATATAATTTGTGGTCCCAGTAGAAATATCACGGACAGAAACAGATTGAAACAAACTACTGGATTTGCAGAATAAACACTTAAACACAATTTCTGCAAGTGAACTATAAACACTTAATTAAATACAAGTCGATTTTGGATTCGTTTCCAATGTTTAATCTTATAATTTGGACGATTGTGATACGTTCAATTTTTGAATTATTTTATACATACCAAACAATGTATACATGCTGAACAAATTAATATCATATTTCTTTATATAAAGATACATATAAAAAAATTATACGAAACAATCTTTTTTTTTTTTTTTTTGAGCACTCAAACAAATGAATTCTTAAAGTATATTTTTTATTTTTACTCTCTAATTAAAGAAAAATTATTCTCAAAATAAATGAAAAAAAAAACCATAAGTCCATTTTTAAAAATAAAAATAAAAATAGATTTGATGCTTTCACTAATTACAGAAACAATAAATTGTTTTGAAAAGAAAAATGCTCAGCACTGTCATATTTTCATGTGAAGAAATAAATAAAATCTAATTTAGTAGGGTTATGTAACGACAAAAGTAATGAGTCCCATTTAACTAAAAAAAAAAAAAAAACTCTTGTAGTATGTGAATAAAAAGACAGAATTAAAGAAATTTTACAACAGCTTTTTTCAATTGAACGACTTAATTAATATATATATATATTGGGTTGAAGAGTTAGGCCTGAAAATAATTATTATTGTATAAAGCACTTCCATTTACTTTCCAAATCCTATAATTGATGGAATTAAAGTCATTTCTCTTTTGACTTTTCCTCAAAATCTGTTACATTTGGACTTTCACACTTCACACTTCACACTTCGACGGAAAATAAAATAAAAATATAGTAAAAACAGAAGAAATGAGAGACAAAGGGAGTCCACATCACCGGTAAAAGCGTGTCACCTGAGAGTATCTTTAGTGATTTGTTAAAAAGTTTTTTTTTGTATAAAATATACATTATTACATATAATTTATAATTTTTTTTTTTATTTTTAATCATCTGTTAAGATACACTGTCACATTACCAATGTATAAAAGGATTGTGTATTTTACACAGTATTTTTACACTCTCAATCATTTACGCCTCTTTGTTTTTCATTTTTTTAAAGTGCGGAGAAGAATCTGTAACTTGAGGCAATGTAAGAACTGCTCAACCATCTTTTATTTATTTTATTTTTTCTAATAAACATAATTTGATTCATCACTTTCGTTTCATCTTATTTTTTGTAATCATAGAGTAGATTCTATGATTTTTTTTAAATTTTTTATCCTTTTACATTCTATTTTAATGACATAAATATGTACTAGTAAGATTAGATATATATTTTAATCACGTAGTTTCTACATAAATCTTATTTTATTATTTGTTATAAGTTATAATTTCGGTGATGATGGCAGTTTTGCTATTGGCGGGATGGGAAAGTGAAATATAGGAAAAAATTATTATTTTTTTCCTAATTGAGGAGGATTGGGACGTGAGGTTTAAACTAAATAAAGTAGGTTTATAAAAATTATGTAGGGCATTGGGTATAATACGTGGTTGGTTGTTATTGGAGGATAGTTTTTTACACAAAAGGTATAAAATAATTATTGGAGTTAAAAATAGTTAGTACAAATTTTTTTTTATAAATTTATTTTAATACATTATATTTACATAAAAAAAATTAACAAATCGCTGGAGATATTCTAAGATTCGCCAAGTGTACAAATAAACTAAGTAATGACTTGACCATTCCTATATGGTTGGTTTCCTTTTAACCCAACTTCATGTCCACTATTTCCAATCCTCAGCCAAGACTCTTACAGTGTCCCTCACTCCACGTCACACCTAAAAAAAAAACATAGCATATTCTTCTCCATAGCATATGTAAAAGAAATGACAAATGAATGATTTTTATGATATATTATCATGAATGTTAATTACATTATGACATATGAGTTGACAGCCAAGTGTAAGGAAAACCATAACAAATTAAGGAAAGATACGGAATAAGGGAGAGAAGCCGTACGGGGATTTGGATCCTTTAAATTAAATATTTTTAAAATTTTTTTACGTTAAATTTCCTATCGATTGACACGTGACATATAAAATTTATCCAGTTCAACTAATTTAAAGAAAATTTGAAAATTGTACCATTTTGATATAAAGAAAAATTTAACAAAGTTTAAAAATTGCATCGTTTTGAATTATGAAAAATTCACCATACTCTAACGACATTTGACGTCGTTATCCTTTCCTCATTTTTTCCGAAAAAAAATCTCCCCCTCCCCTTCTCCTCTTTTTCACTACCACGATTAAGGGAATATTTTGCACCAAAAATAATTTTTCTTTGTCATGGAATTAAGATGAGCGAAAATGTGATTGCAAGATATGCAACTTTTACTGCAATAATAATGATTGAAAAAGAATATATATATATATACACACAAGCATGGATATTTTTCAAAAAAAGCATGGATATTGATGGAGTTAGGAAAATACAGCCAAAAACCCTATTTATAGAAATTAAAGATGAGTGAGAAGTGAGGTTAAAAGAGAAAAAGAGACAATCGCGATTTATTCAAGATAAGTGAGGATCTTAGTTTTTTTGGAAAAGATAAAGGAGAAATGTACAGTTTTCAAATTTTCTTTAAATTTTTACAGAATTCAATTTCGAATAATTTAAAGAATATTTAACTTAAAGGATCCTAATCCCACAAATTAAGGAGAGAAACGGCATAATATACACCGTGATTGATAAATATATATACAATTTTGATTCATCAACAAATTTGATAATAGTGTCATAATGTATTGTTGTGAAATCTGTAATTTGCATTATGACTCCCAAATTAAGATTACACTGAGATCAGATTGTGTAAGTACGTGTGCGCGCGCGCACGCGCATAAGTGAAGATTTGGTTGTGTGTGTGAAGATGGATACTTCATTGCAGAGAATCGAGATTTTTATGAGATTCGATTAGGGTTCATGTGCCCAAGAGTCGGGCATCCAACCACAATCAGATGTTTGATTTGTTAACGATATTTTATATCAATTTGTTAGTATGAGAGAGAGTTTTTTTTTTTTAATTTTATTTTTAAGAAAGTGACTGAGAGAAAATGTAAGCTAATGAAAGAGAGAAAGTGATATAGTGGGTAAGGCTTACAAGAACGGGCCAGAATGAATTTTGACAATAAGAAAACAAAAAAACATAATATCCTTCATAACGCAGATCATGAAATAATTCTTTCATGAGATGCATCACTCCTCGATCAAATTAACACTAATAGGAGAGATAGTATTATTTTAAACGAGGTCATATTATTTAAGTAATCTATGTAGATTGCTTAAATTATAGAAGTGTCGAAAAATTATTTTTTTATTGAACACAGGACTGGGATACGCGAGGGACAAGTGGAGGATACTTACTGAACATGGCGGGGTATATTTTATAAAAAAAATTTAAGAAAAATGAGGTACCTAATGTAATTTTAGAAGTTTAACTCTTTGACTTTTTTATCTGAGATTCTAAACTTCTACTTTTATTAAATTTTATGATTCCATTATGTTTATGTTTTTTATTTGATTCATTCATCTCAGTACTGGAATTAAATAAACTTTTAGACTGTAACAAAAAAAATCAAAGAGAAATCAGAACAATTATATTTATTGATAAGTGTAAAATGTAAATTGTAAAGTTGTTGATAACTTTGTTTTGTTCTTAATTAATTGAAGTATTTCTTTTATTGCAGTATTTTTTTTGGAGGAGATTAGATTTATGATATTGTGAATTTTGAATATATAATTAGATATATATATTATTTTATAGGCATATTCTGTCATGTCCGTGTGTTATCTTATAAAAATTTGTAATGTTACTGTATCGGTGTCGTGTCATATCCGAATATGTGCTTCATAAATCTCACATATAAATGACTTAACCATCTAAATCTCGCATATAAATGACTTAACCATCTATTAGGGTTACTTTTTAACCCAACTTCATACCCGCTGCTAGTCCCAATCCTTAGCCAAGTACTAGCAGTCACTCGCTCACTGAAAACACACACTGCTCTCTCTCTCTCTCTCTCTCTCTATATATATATACTCCCATAGCTATTAGCTAGTTACACTCCTTGTAATTCCTCCCTCCCTCCCAACTCACAGTCACATACTCTCTGTACTTATATCAGTAGAAAATGTGCTTCTGCTGAAGCAGAGTTGTTGCAGAGGACATATATCCTCTCAGATAATTTCATAAATGTTTTTTTGCTTCCAACTTTACCCTTCTCCCTAATTAACTTACACCCACTGTAATTTCACTCTCAAATCTCTCTCTCTCACTATATGTATCACTTGCAGCTGGATCAGAACTGAGAGCAGAGTACATATATCCCCTCATTAGTTCAGTTAGTTATATAACGGCTTTTTCTTCCCATTTTACCCTTCCATTTCTCTCAAATTTTCAATTGAGTGCCATTGATCCACCTTCAACCAACCATGATCTCTTTGAACGATCTGTACTCCGTCCTGACAGCGGTGGTTCCGCTCTACGTGGCCATGATTTTGGCCTACGGCTCGGTCCGGTGGTGGAAGATCTTCACCCCTGACCAGTGCTCCGGCATCAACCGCTTTGTGGCCATCTTCGCCGTCCCTCTCCTCTCATTCCACTTCATCTCCACCAATGACCCATATTCCATGAACCTCCGCTTCATTGCCGCCGACACCCTCCAAAAGATCATCATGCTGGTGGTGCTGGGACTGTGGGCCAGCTTCACCAAAAATGGAAGCATCGAGTGGATGATCACTATATTCTCCCTCAGTACACTCCCCAACACTCTTGTCATGGGCATCCCTCTCTTGATCGCCATGTACGGTGAATTCTCCGGCAGCCTCATGGTTCAGGTGGTGGTTTTGCAGTGCATCATCTGGTACACTCTCCTCCTCTTCCTCTTCGAGTACCGCGGCGCCAAGATCCTGATTATGGAGCAGTTCCCGGAGACCGCCGCCTCCATCGTGTCGTTCAAGGTGGAGTCCGACGTCGTCTCCCTCGACGGCCAGGACTTCCTAGAGACTGATGCCGAGATCGGGGACGATGGGAAGCTCCACGTCACGGTGAGGAAGTCCAATGCGTCGAGGAGGTCACTTGGGCTCCCGTCGATGACCCCTCGGCCGTCAAACCTCACCGGAGCTGAGATTTACAGCCTGAGCTCCACCCCTAGGGGTTCCAATTTCAACCATTCCGACTTTTATTCCATGATGGGGTTTCAGGGTAGGTTGTCGAATTTCGGTGCCGGAGATCTCTACAATTCGTCTAGAGGAGTGACACCAAGGCCCTCCAATTTTGAGGAGAATTCCGTCCCCGGAGCTCCGAACATGAGCTCGCCGAGATTCGGGTACTTTCCCTCCCAGACTGTGCCGGCGTTTTATCCTGCACCAAATCCTGAAATCTCATCTACCATTACTAAAAGCTCCAAAACGAAACATCAACAGCAGCAACAACAGCAACACAACTCGCAAAATAAAGCAAACCATGATGCGAAGGAGCTTCACATGTTTGTGTGGAGCTCGAGTACGTCTCCGGTCTCTGAAGGCGGCGGCCTCCACGTGTTCAGCAGCGCCGATGAACAGAATGTTAGTGCCAAGGAAATCAGAATGATAGTGCCTGATGATCACACTCAAAATGGGGAAAATAAAGGTAAAAATTATATTATATATATATATATAAATGTTTGTGTGTGTATTGATTTTGGTTTGTGAATTATTTTTGAAATGTTTTCCAGGAACTGAGGGCTATGGTGGGGAGAACTTCAACTTCGGTGTGGATGGGAGAGAGGGAGATGAGGATAGAGAAAAGGGGGGACCCACTAACCCTAAACTGGCCGGAGCTCAGGACACCGGTGCCGGGAAACACATGCCTCCGGCGAGCGTTTTGACACGTCTGATCTTGATCATGGTGTGGCGCAAGCTGATCAGAAACCCCAACACATACTCGAGCCTCGTTGGTCTTGTTTGGTCTCTAGTTGCATTCCGGTGAGCTGATTATTGGAAATTACAAAATTAATTATAATTCATTTTTTTATTAAAAATTAAAAAATAAATTAATTATGATCTTCACATTACAGGTGGAACGTGGCTATGCCAAAAATAATAAAGCAGTCTATTTCCATACTATCCGATGCTGGTCTTGGAATGGCTATGTTCAGCTTAGGTGAGTTGTCATATTTCATGGTTGGTGCTTGTAAATGTGAATGCTTTCAACTCCGGCTGCGCATACGTATACATATATACATATTTGTATATATTTATTTATATATATATATACATATATATGTATACATGCATACACATGCATGATGAGAGACAATAGTCACAATCGATCATTGTCTTTTAACCATGTTGACCACCCGACAGGTGGGTCCGATAGTCGATATCCCTAGCGGTCCCAAACGGGTGGGCATATTGGCCAGGACGTGTATGGCTACGAGTGATCTACTCAATAGCTTAGACTAAACGATGCAAGTACAAGTCACTAATAAATATATTCACGTGGGCTTCATATAATCCTATCGTGTCAATTTATAACATTATTAGTAAGTTAGGTTTTCATTTTTAAATGAATTTTAGGGTTTCAAATTTAATTTTTTGGATTAGGATTGTCTGATTAAATTTGGTATGGTTCTACTCATATAAAAAAATCAAATATTTGATTAAAAAAAAAAAAAAAAAACTCAAAGTGTTTAACATATTTAAATTACTACGTATTAGTAATTAATTTGTCTTATTAAAATTGTCTGATAAAATTTTGGTGTGGTGGTGATCAAAGGTTTGTTTATGGCACTTCAACCGAAGATAATCGCTTGCGGGAACTCGGTGGCTACGTTTGCCATGGCGGTGAGGTTCCTCACCGGACCGGCGGTGATGGCAGTGGCTTCCTTTGCTCTAGGCCTGCGGGGTGTCCTCCTCCACGTCGCAATTGTGCAGGTACCAATTTGCTTTCATATATATATATGTATTAAATAAGGATGATATGTACCTAATGGGACAAAATATTTATCTTCCACATTTAATGCCATGTATTGACTTTATGATACGACAAACACACACATATATATACCTACACATATATATAAATGAATCAATATTTTCTTTCAGTGCATTTATATTGCAGGATGCACTGTTGAGTTGATTATTCATAATCTCGACTCTCCCAATCTATATATATATAGCATTATAGCATGACATATGCCATCTATGTACAATTTTGCCCACATTAATTGCTACATCAAAGAGAGATGAGTCACGCTCCTCATCGCTCTCACTCGGTGTAAACCTTGTATTTTTTCTATATATGGAACCACAAACATGTATGTTTTATCTATATATATATATATTCTCTTATGAGAAACTTTTAGATGGTTTTGGACCATCGGTATCATTAACCCATACGAATAGCCTGCAGATCATATAATAATTTTGGGTATAGTTTGAAAGCGATATCTTCAGTGGATTGTTTTCTAACATCTTTTCTTCCAATAGGCTGCACTTCCACAAGGGATTGTTCCATTTGTGTTCGCCAAAGAATATAATGTTCACCCTGCAATTCTTAGTACTGCGTAAGTGAAATCTTGAACTCCAATTAAGAATATATATATATATATATATATATATATATATATTTCAAATTAGTTAAATTATTACCAATTTTTAATAATTTGTCCATGTAATTTGTAAAATTTTCAGGGTTATCTTTGGAATGCTGATAGCTCTGCCAATCACTCTGGTGTACTACATTCTTCTCGGATTGTGAAGCTTAATAATGAGCCAATCAAATCACACGGGAAATGAAAAAAAAAAAAAATTTGGAGAAGAAGAAGATAAAATGTCTATATATATATATATATATATATATATATATTGATGATTGCATGGAGATATATATATTACTAACCAGATATGAAGAATTTGCGAAGGCTCCAAAGCATTTGGAAAGGAGGGATATTAAATCCCTAATACAAGGATCTTGTCCCTATTAGAGTAAACAATTCTCTATTTGAAGAGTGTTTGGAGCCAAAAAGGAGAGGGAAACGAGGAGAGAATATTGGTAGTGGATTTGTATTTTTCTTCATTGCTGTAATTGGTGTAAAGTTTCATATAAAAAAGAGCTCATCTTTATTGATTTAGATTCAGCAGGATTGAAAGATTTATACAAGTAGATGAGAAAGTGAATGGGTTTCTCTTTCTTTTATTAGGGTTTCTATTTTTACAGTTTTAAGACTAGTTTGTTTGGATGTAAAATATCTTTTTAAGAATATATTTTTGATATTTTGTTGTCCTTGGCTTGTCACATGAGTCTGAACTTCATATTTCCGTATGTGAAAAGAAGTATAAACATCTTCATATACCAAGCGCTCGCTAATGAGTACTGCATCTTCAGAATTGTAACCTTCCCATGGCATATAAGCTACTAATATATTTTTCCCCAAAGCGAGTTCGCCACCAACTGTAGCGGCACCGTCCGTAAAATATTTACTAAAAAAAAAATAATTAAAACTGCCTACTGTTTTAAAAACAACTTCTTCATCAATTTTCGGCAAATTATTTTATATTGTTACGCCCGATGGACTTGACCTAAACTTTTGTCAAACACCAAAATATTAAATATATATATATATATATATCTAAAAAAGAAAAAAAAATATTTTATATCGAAACAAACGAAACCTTAGGTCTGATTGGTTTGTAACTTTAAGAACAATTTCTATTTTCAGAAAACTAAAAGCAGAAAAGTGTACAAAAAACTCTACTTGGTACAATTTTCTAAAAACCATTTTTTAAAAACGCAGTTATAAAAATAGTTTTTTGTCCTTTGAATTATTGACAACTGTTTTCAAAATTATAAGTCAATAAATTTTTAATTTTGCTTAAATTGTATTCTAATTTTTGGGTAATGGTAGACATCTTGAAATATTTTTTATACTCATCGCAAAAACTTATTGTTGGCCCACATTTTGAAATACTCGTTGCAAAAATTTATTGTTGGCCCATTTCAATCTCTATTGTGGGGGTATGGATTGGAAAAATTGCTCCATATGGATAGAAAGAATTTATATATTGACTAGGAACTTGTAAGGGTGAGCAAATAATTCGTCAATTCGATTTGAATCAATTCGATTCGTGTGATTTGGTTCAGTTTTCAAATTTTTTGATTCGGTGATGGTTAAAAAAAATACCAATACATTATTCGCAATTCAGTTAACGGATTCGGCCCTGGAAAAACCGATCCGATTAGTTAACTGAACCGATCCGTTACCTTAATTATATATATATATATACTCTTGCTGTATTTTTTTTTTTTTATTAATTATTTATGACTTTAAGTTAACCCTAGGTCATCAAAGTCATTAGTGATTACAGGTTTTTAATTACTAATTCGAGATTTTAATTGGCAATAAAGTGTAATCATATTAGGCTGTTTGAAAAGACCAATCCGTGAAAACCGAATTGATCTGATCTATTATTTTATGGATCGGTTTGGTTCGGATTAAAGGTTTTCACAAATCGGTTCGATTTCAAATTTCACCAATTCGTGGGGACCGGATTGAATTGAACTTTACCTCTAAATTGAACCGATCCAATCCAATCCGTGATCAGCCCTAGGAGCTTGTCAAGTTTTGTTCCATTTCATTTAACCCTAGTGATTGGTTTAGTGGCACGGGGACTTGCCTCATGAAACATCATATTTGAGATTCAATTTCAACCGGGTACAAATAATTCTTTAGAGTTACGTTTTCACAATCTTACTTTGTGGCTTACTGGACCTAGAAAGATTAATCGAGACAAGGGCCACAATTACCCACATTAATCTTTAAAAAAAAAAAAAAAGGTTTCATGAGCTTATTGGTTAATATATTTGTACTGTAACCAACCAATAACACTACTGAATTATAAGTATGGGATATAAAAATTCTCCAAAAATACTAGCAATATAAAACAAAAATAATTATTATTAAAATTTTACAATTTCATAATAAAATGTGTTGGGCCTTACTATGTTGGGTAGGGCGGAAGGAAGATGTATAAAGAGAAAATTGGACCAAAAAAATGAAATTCTTTTGTTCGGAAGAGATGATACAAGGAAAGAAAGGCGAATAGGAAAGATGTCATATCATTTCTCCTTTATAAATTTTTATCCGCCCAAAAATAGGCGGAAGAAAGGAGGGAAGACATGTGGACTATTTTCCTCTATAGATTACAATATTATAAATATTATTAGATATAATAGTAAAAACAATTGAAACTTTATCTTTTCTTCTCTTATAACCAACATAGTAAATTATCAGTTTATTTTATTATATTCTTTCTAATAGAACAAAAAAAATAAAATATATAGTCTTTCTCTAAGATGTCTCATTCACCCATTCTTCTCTCCCTTCTCCCTAATTTTTTTCTTTCTTACCGATTAGAGCATATAAGTCATTCACTGTCAATATGAAAAAAGTTATCACCTGGGCATCATTAGAGGTGATTTTACACTATCAACATGGTCTCGAACTATTGGTCAATCACAGTAGGATATTTAAGTAAGAAATTAAGTAAAATTAATATATTTATTTACATGCTGCCACGTTATGATTAGCCAAAACCATACATATAATTCGGAACCACGTAAAAAAATTTGTGAATTAATTTGTTGATATTATCAATTAATTGGTGTAATAAATTGGGGAGGGAGAATATAGTAGGGACCTCTCAAAGCACCATTATCTTTAATGACTTTTGGACAAAATGCTTTTTCTTTGAGAGAAATGGGGGATAAGAAAAAACAGCGGAAAGTAGCTGGAGTCAAAAGCCGCTTATTCAGCCTTTTTGAGCTTTTGGTGTGCCCACAAAACCTACCCTGCACTGTACAAAGAGCCGTCACAATTAATTAGGGGTGGGTGGTGAGTGGTTCAAATAATTAAAACCCTTTCTTTATTGGAAAAATGGTAGAACATGAACACACCGCATTTCCAACTCAATTCATTTATCACAGGGCACCACCTCAAAAAGTTGTTTTAGATTTTGTGGGAAAAGCCAACAACTTTTTCACCTTCTTCCAAAATGAATCGGGTCCGGATCCCCTTTTAAAGGGAGTTTTATCCGTATGAAACTTTGTTTATAATAATAATAGGTGAGAAGTTGATATTGGCGCTACATTAATTTTTTTTAATCTCTTTTTATCTAACAATGAAATTACTAAAGAGTCCACTTATAATAATAAATTAGTTTCTTGTATTTTAATTTCATATTTATCCTTATCTATTAAAATTAGGAGTTCCTAATATTCATAACACGGTAGAGAGAAACGTGAGAGAAAAAAATAAATAAATAAACTGTTTAAAAATAATAATAGTAATAATACTAATACTGGAATACCAGTATAAGCATATTCTGTGCAAAATGAGAATAGAATTTAGGGATTTTTACGTATAAATAAAGTTACCAAGTCTTTTGTTTAATCTTTTGTTTATCAACTTAGGATTCTCAATCAGGTTAACAAAAAATTAGAAAAAATATCTGTAAAAAGAGAAGTTCAATAGCTATTCAGAAAACTAGATTCTATCAAGCTAGATCTAGAAGAGAAATTTTAAATCTAAATAAGAAATTTGACTACATAAGTCGATAAATAGATAATTCTAGGATTTCAAACCTAGAAAAGAAAGTAGATTAAATTTTGAAAATTACTGTGGTGTAGATTTGAAATAATAATAATAATAATACTGGTACTGGTGTTATGAATATTGCAAATACTGGTACTGGTGTTATGAATACCAGTATAAGTATATTATGTGCAAAATGAGAATAAAATTTATTACTATGGTGTAGATTTAAAATTTTTAAGATACACCTCGAGCAGTTCTATATAAGGATGACAACGGGGCGGAGTTGGTTAAACCCTATTCTGTCCCGTTAGAAAATTTGTCATATCAACTCCATCCCTTCTCCAAAATGAGTTTGTAATTGCTATATCATCCTCACCCCTGCATAGGCAAAGTACCGACTCTGTCTCATGTACTCTGTTTAATTGCGGAGTGCAGAGAGGGCGGGTCAAGTTATGCCACTTTTATTATATAGTAAAAAAAACTAGCGCAATGTGTGATAAATAAGTTGACTCAACTTTTAAATTATCAAATAATAAATATTAATAAATTAATGGACACTTCTAGCAAAATAACAAGAGTATTAAAAATATTAAATATACATATATAAATTAAAAGGTACATATATAATCGGGACGGTTTCATCACAAAATCCGCTCCCGCCCCAAACCCGCTTTAACATACGTATAAATAAAATCTCGCGGTATCGTCGGATTCGGAGCACTTTTTTTTCGGTGGGCTTTTGAGATTTTCATATCAAATCGAGATAAGGGATGTTTTAGGGTTATATTAATGTTGTATTGATTGTTTTATGAGCATATACAACTTGTGAGCATGCCTTCTTCAAGTTATAGAATTTAATTTAATTATTTTCTTTGTTTAAGATTTAATTGTCATGATGCTAGACAACTTAGAATTAAATTGTGGCATGCTAGAAATTTAGGCCTTGGTATGGTGGTTGATATATATTAAATTGGGATTATTTGAATAAGAATTGCAAATTTTATTTAATATTTATCTTTTGTGAAAGTTTAATTCACCTAGTTGTATCAAGCATAAAATCAACTTATAATGTGATATTAAAGTAGGCCTTGGTGAGTTCTTTAACATATATTAAATTGAAGACATTTAAATATGTTTGAAAATCTAGAAAAAATTAATTAATTAGCTTAATTAATTTTATTTTTAAGTGTTGTAGGTACTTAAATTGATTTTGGGTATAATATATGTGAAGACTATGCTATGTTCTTTAACATATATTAATTTGAGTTTATTTTGGATTAATATGAAATCTAGAGACTTTTCATGTTAGGTTGAAAATCCCTTTTAATGTAGTGAAATTAATTACCTTATGAGCATATTACTAATTGGATGTACAATTAGTACTCGGGGCCTCTTAAAATGGTAATTGGATTTAGCATGATATAGAATATCATTGACTTGTAAAGCTTGTTTAAATATATCTTGTGTAGATATATAGCTTGTTAGAATATTACAATTGTTTACCTTGAAAGTTTGTTACTAAATTGAAGCTTATTTAGTACTTGTGGCTTAGGATGGTAATGTGATTTAATTGTTGTAAAATATTCTTGCTTTGTGTATAATTGCATATTGGAGACTTGACATGTCATATGCTACTTAGACTTGAATCCTAGGACATGGTTTGTGTGGATTCAACCTTATTTGTGCATGG